AATAAGTAAATAAATAAATTAAATAGAATGTATTATATGGTCCCTTAGAAGAGATATGTAATTTTATGTCTATATTTGCATTTAAAAAGTTGTTACTGCTGGGTGGTGAAGTATACTTCTTTTGTTGTTTATTTACGGTTGGTCCACAGTGAGCCTGTATTACCTGGATGGAATGATAAATGAATAGATAGTTGGATGACAAGGTAGATAGACTGACAGACACACAGATAGATGTAGAATATATTAAAATTTAAGGATTCAGTGTTTCAGGAAAAGAAGTAAGATTTTTAGCACATTTGACATTTGAAAACCTCTATACACTTTAGGAATATCTAATCATCTGTAACATACCTGCCGAGTTCAGAAAAAAATCTATATATCTGTATCTATATCGGTATTTATCTATACATTTATAGATACATTTTATCATATACCATCTGCCCATACATATAAAAGTATATAAATGTATATGTAGAGGATGATACACTATATATACATTTACAGATGGACAATGAAAGTATATATATAATAGAATAAATGTAGTAAGTGGTAATAATCAGGGAATCTGGGTAAAGGGTACATAGATGTTCCTTGTGCTATTTGTTCAACTTCTCAAAGTTTGAATTATCTCAAAATAAAAAGTTTATAAATCTAATAGATATTTTATGCAGCTGTTTTTTGTTTTTTTGAGATAGAGTTTTACTCTGTCACTCAGACTGGAGTGCATTGGCACGATCTTGGCTCAATGCAACCTCTGCCTCCTGGGTTCAAGCGATTCTCCTGTCTCAGCCTCCTGAGTAGCTGGGATTACAGGCGCCTGCCACCACACCTGGCTAATTTTTGTATTTTTAGTAGAAACAGGTTTTCGCTACATTGGCCAGGCTGGTCTTGAACTCCTGACCTCAAGCGATCCACCCACCTCGGCCTCCCAAAGTGGTGGGATTACAGGCAAGAGCCGCTGTGTCCAGCTATTTTATATTTTACCTATTTTTGTTACAAGACACTAATTTTAAGAGACCCTCTTCACCATTTGCTCTCCTTCTTGACATCTGAAACAAGAACCCCACAACCAGTTTGTGAATTTGGCCTTTACAGTGCTTGTCATAGAGTAACTTGGGATTTATTGAATTATGTCTTTCCCAGAGCATAGAAACATATATAGGAAGCCTCCCACTTTGTTTGACTATGCCAGCACAATCTTAATAACAGAGTTTGACAAACCTAGTACACAAAACAATCACAAACCAATATGAATCATAAATATAGACACAAATGTGTGAAACAAATTGCTAGCTTCTTCAATTCTGGTAATGTCTTAAAAAATACAAACCATTAATAGGCAGGATTTATTTCAAAATTATAAGTTTAGTTCAGCAGGGGTAAATCAAGATAAGGTAAAAGAGAGACTCTATCTGAGTCTCTTGATAAATGGCAAAGAGGCATTTTTCTTGGGCAGCACCTTTTTGCAAACTAGGAACAACAGAACACAAAAAAGAATAGCTATCTAAAACAAACAAACAAAAAGTGTATGTTTTCAGGGGAAATACTGGAGGCATTACCACCCAAGCAAGGAATAAGAAACTTACACCCATTATCATTGCTATTATTCAACACTGTTCTGGTATTTTTGTTTTTTGAGACGAAGTCTCACTCCGTCACCCAGACTGGAGTGCAGTGGTGTGATCTCAGCTCACTGCAACCCCTGCCTGCTGGGTTCAAGCAATTCTCCTGCCTCAGCCTCCTGAGTAGCTGGGATAACAGGCGTGAACCACCATGCGTGGCTAATTTTTTTATATTTTTAGTAGAGACGAGGTTTTACCATGTTGGCCAGGCTGGTCTCAAACTCCTGACCTGAAGGTGATCCACCTGCCTTGTGTAATCCCAAAGTGCTGGGATGACAGGCATTAGCCACCACGCTCAGCCTGTTCTAGTATTTCTTACCTTTATTATTAACTATCTAAGAAATCCAAAGAAGCTACCAAGGAGCTATCAACTAATTAGACAGTTCCAATTGAATCCAATACATACATTCAAAGCTTTACTTTATACTAGGCATCAGGGACTGGCAAACTGTTTATAAAAGTCAAACAGTAAATATTTTAGGGTTTTTGGGCCATCCAGTTTCCATGGCAACTATTCGGTTGTGCCACCGGAGGGCAAAAGCAGCCATTGATAATGCATAAGTGAATGGATGTGGCTGTGTTCCAATAAAACTTCCAGGCAGTGGACTGGATTTTGTCTACTGGCCATGGTGTGCTGACTTCTACTTTATACCACAGAAAGCAGTTGATGGGAAAAAGTTATCCTTTAAAACATCAAAAAAGAAAAAAAGAAATATAAAGACCCAGAAACAAACTTTTTTTTTTTTTTTTTTTGAGACAGAGTTCAGAGTTTCACTCTTGTTGCCCAGGCTGCAGCGCAATGGCGCGATCTCGGCTCACTGCAATCTCTGCCTCCCAGTTCAAGCGATTCGCCTGCCTCAGCCTTCTGAGTAGCTGGGATTACAGGCACCACCATGCCCGGCTAATTTTTTAATTTTTAGTAGAGCCTAGGTTTTGATATGTTAGCCATGGCTGGTCTTGAACTCCTGACCTCAGGTGATCCACCTGCCTCGGCCTCCCAAAGTGCTGGGATTACAGGCATGAGCCACCGTGCCCAGCTGAAAGAAACTTTCTAAAAGGCAATTTGGCTATATGCATCAAAAAAGAAATCTAGAGTACTCTTTCAACCCAGTAATTCCGTTTCTGGGAATTTACCCTAAGGATACATTTAGATCATTTAGATAAGGACATAAAGATGTATACACAAGGATGTTTATTACAGTGTTATTTATAATAAGAAAAGTTGGCCAGGTGCAGTGGCTCACGCCTGTAATCCCAGCACTTTGGGAGGCTGAGGCAGGCCAATCACTTGAGGTCAGGAGTTCGAGACTAGCCTGACCAACATGGTGAAACCCCATCTCTACTAAAAATACAAAAATTAGCCAGGCATGGTGGCAAGTGCCTGTAATCCCAGCTACTCAGAAGGCTGAGGCAGGAGAATCGCTTGTTTGAACCCAGGAGGCTGAGGTTGCAGTGAGCCGAGATAGTGCCATTGCACTCCAGCCTGGGTGACAAGAGCAAGCAAGCAAGAAAGCAAGAAAGAAAAGGTATCTACTGACATAACCTATGTCTATGAGGAATGCATAGTTTCTGAAAATAAGTTAGAGTAGTACGCATAATATCAGCTAATTTTTAAAATATATAGGTGTGCATATGAAGTTATGCATATGGACCCACACGTGCAACAAAACCTGGGAAGAAATATCCCCAACTGCTTTATTAGCAGTTATTTCTTATGATGGATTTATGAGCGACCTTTCTTTTAATTTTTGCTCTCTTTTTATTTCTTCAATGGAGCTGGGAAATAAAATTTTTGATTTTTAAAAGGAAGCTAGTAAATACAAAAACCCTGTGCTAAACAATTTACTCGCATTTCTATTGATTTTGAAGGAGCCTATAGACAGTACCCTCCTCAAACAAAGCATATTGATATACTGATTTTAACTTTTATGTTAAAATTCCAGACACCCCTGAAAAGTTATTTAAGTTATCGTTAACCACTTCATGTCCTGAAGATAGAAATCTTTGGGTTATAACTAATGCAAAAGGAGCGTATGTCTGGAAATCTTGTAGTTTTCTTATCCTTCAGTAATGTTTCTGCACGCATGACTGTGCGTGTGTGTGTGTGTGCACATGTGTGTGTACACATCTGTCTATTGAGTAAGAAAAGCAAGATAAGGTAAATAGGAAATGGACAAGAATGGTAAATCAAAGACCAACATGAATGAATGTCCTACAGGGAAATAAGTATTAGTAAACTCACTCCTCAAGGTCTTATTTATGATTTTATAGTATGAGAATCTTCCTTTGGGTTTAGGAGAAAACCCTGACATCCTTGTAAATTCTCATTTATAATTTACCAAGACTGAATTTGGGTCTCCTAATAGAAAATATTAAATCCATGTGATTTATATCTAGTTGTGACATTTAAGCACATTTTTCCTCATAATTGACAATAGGTATCTAATTATTTATTTTGCCAAGAGTTTTACTTATTGTAAAATGATATATATTTAATTTTCAAGTATTTAAAATCTTGGGGAAATGTAAATGGGAAGGGAAAATGATTTTTATAACTTCTCAGGAGTTCTTTGTAGGTGTTACTGAATGCAAGTTACATGGTATAACTCACAGTTGTCAAAAAGAGCCAAAAAAAACCCCACTATTTTTGCCTTCTCAAAACAATTACCTTATCTGGCTTTGAAATCTTCCTACTTCCCTCCTGAAGTGGCCTTCTCCAATAGCTTAGCATAAAAATTAGATCCAATGCTAACAGAATATCCTCCAATAATAGACATTTCCAACTTTGGCGGGGGGCGGGGGGATTTCTTTGAGCACTTATGTATGTTTGTGTGCATGCACGTGTGAGTATGTGTGTGTGAGCTTGTCATTGCTAGAGTGGCCATGGGAGAAAAGTGAATCTCCCTAGAGCCAACTTAGAAGTTAACAGGAACAATATGACAACCACAAGGTCATCCAGAGTTCTCAAAAGTGATGTCAAAAGATGATGAGGTGTTAAGTACATTTTGTAAGCCATGAAAATCCAGGACACAATCAGCAAGAAATGAAGTTTGCTCTGAATACGACAGACAAATGAGTATATTGATACAATTTTCATTAACTATTCCTTTGCTTGCAATCTCAATCAAATGCTCTTTATCCTTCAGCAGAATTTACTATTACCAAACATGAACATAACAACCTACATTAGTCTTATGTTGAGATCTGGGAGATCAAAATTCTGCAAACTTTCCTTTCAACCTTTCATTTAAAAAATTCTTGGAAATGAATTTAGCATAGTTAAAAAGTGAGAAGTCATGCTTCAAATCCCAAACTATATTTTTCCTGTCAAATATTGCTCTCTGTAAAGTGTATCACCAAACCCCAGTAGAAACTTACCCTTCAACTTGAGGTCAACATTATGTCTCAGCCAAGGATAAACCCCATAGCTTGGCATATCTTCGGGAATTGGATTATCGCTTATCCAGCCATCACAAGCGAACCGGAAGAAATTATCACAAGGATCCACAGACAGATTTACTTTACTTAAGATAGCAGCAGCTATTTAGAAAGAAAATCATAGGATTAATGATAAGCACTGAATGTTGTGTACTGTTCTTTTCCAAATTAAACAACGATTTCATATCAACCAGTTTCCAAGCCTTGGCATTTATATTTCCCCTTAAAAAAACTCTCTGAATCTACCTCACTATATGAAATGACTACATTCAAAGTGAATGGACAGGCTGGGCGCAGTGGCTCACGTCTGTAATCCCAGCACTTTGGGAGGCCGAGGCAGGTGGACCACCTGACATCGGGAGTTTGAGATCAGTCTGGCCAACATGGTGAAATCCCATCTCTACTAAAAATACAAAAATTAGCCAGATATGGTGGTGCATGCCTGTAATCCCAGCTACTCGGAGGCTGAGGCAGGAGAATTGCTTAAACTCAGGAGGCAGAGTTTGCAGTGAGCCAAGATCGCACCACTGCAGTCCAGCCTGGGGTGACAAAGTGAAACGGTCTCTCAAAAAAAAAAAAAAAAAAAAAAAGTGAATGGATAAAAGTTTGGTGGTATTATCACTACCGGCTTTTGCAGGATCATCCCTAACATCTGTGGGGTATGGGACAGGAATACAAATAGAGTGTGTGGTCAATTATTTGCAAAGATAACTGTGACTCTTTCTTCTATCCTGCTTGTCCTTCTGCAAAGTGACCTTGCTGCTCTTCCCATCAAGTGGTAGAGTCTATTTCCCCTGCCTTGAATTTGGACTGACCTTGTCACTTGCTTTGACCAACAGAATTGGTAGAAGTAACTTTCTGTGAGTTTCAAAGCTAAGCCTTAAGAGGCCTTGCACCTTCCATATTAACTCCCTTTGAATGGAGCCCTTTAGCTGCCCTTTGAAGCAGCCTCCTGGAGGACAAGAGGCTACATAGAGAAGAACCAAGCCAGCACAACTGCCAGACGTTGACTGAGGCCATGATTCACCTTCCAGTCCAGGCGCCCCTCTAGCTGAATGCAGTTGCACAAATGAGCCTAGGCAAAAATCAGCAGAGAAACCATCCACCAAACACACAAAATCATGAGAAATAGCAAAGAATTTTTGTTCCAGGCCTCTATAGTTTGGGTGGTTTGCCTCACAGTGAAGGCTAATGGAAACAGAAGTCCATATGTCATCTAGCTAAATATTTAAAAATTATATTTACAATATACTTTCAAATTCTTGAGCTCCTTGATATTCAGTGTAGCTCTCAGAGAAATAAAGCCCCAGAAGAGACCCACACAGATCCTGGAAGGGAGCTTGGGGCCATTGGGCGGGGAATTCTGGGGTGTAGAAGGAAAGGGCTGCCTACTTGGCTCCACAGACGCCTTGATTGGAGGAGAGGCATGGCCAGAGGAGGGCCAAAGTAGGGTGTTCTAAATGAGGGACCCAGGTCTAGCGGTAGAACTGAGTACGTGTATAAGTTAACAGAAAGACACAATAGACTGATCTACCTTTTTTTTTTTTCCTCTTTCATAAGCCCATACACAATTACATATAGAAGACAGCCCATAGGTAGGAGACGTGTGCATAAATACGTAACCATGAGCTTTAAAAGAAAACCCTTCATTACAAAATGAGAAGTTTCCAAAATTCCCAATATTGAACTCCAACGCCCTTCCAACTGCCATACAATTGCTGGCTACCACTCTAGCACAAAGATATGTACCAACTGACTTTTTAAAAACTAGCCAATATTTTAATGACATTGGAAAGATGACATTCTGGGCAATTTTCATACTTTAAATAATGCCAGAATATATTTTTGTTTGAAGTAATGAAAACCCAATGAGATTTCAGCTAAATATGAATGAACTGCCCCAAAAAAGTACAATCTGTGTAAATTTTGATACATATCTTACAGTTTGGTTACATGTGTGGTTCCTTCAGGTTTAAAAATAAGGCTAGATATTTCTCCAGCCTAGTTTTCTACAAAAATTTCAAACAGCCTTTTGTCTTCAATGAAGTGAATAATATAAAAACATTCTAATTTCTATAGGCCCTCAAAATCCCCACCATTTTCAAACCTCCCCCAACAACACAAAAGAAAAAAAAAAAAGAAAAAAAAAAAACTAGCCAAAAATTGGTTTAGAGGCCAAACACTGGGGCTCATGCCAGTAATCCCAGCATTTTGGGAGTCTGAGGTGGGCATATCGCTTGAGCCCAGGAGTTGGAGACCAACCTGGGCAACATGGCAAAACTCTGTCTCTACAAAAAAAAAAAAAAAAAAAAAAAAAAAAGACTCGGAAGTTTGATAAATTTCAAATTGGCTTAACATTTTCATGCTTCAGAACCAGCATCAGTTGTCTTTAATTACATTTGCACTTACTGCTACTATTTTATCATTAATATTTAATGTGCAAATGTGCTAGGACATAACAAAATCTTTCTTTTGGTTGGTATTTATACATATATATTTATATATACAGTTACTGTATGCAGCCACAGAATGAATCTGCTATGTGACACCTCAGAGACATGGATCACACGTCTCAGTCCCACACAACATTTACAGTTACACAGAGGAGCCCTCACACGCATTTTTATCCACATACGTACACTGTTTTCCGGCCTCCTTCTCAAATTTTCCCTGCCCCCAACCCTCAAATGTATCCTCTCCATCTCGCCAGTATTCTTGCAGGTACCTAGAAAAACTGCAAGGTCAGCTCTGACCTTGGCCCTGATACAAAAGTTGGGGAATACATCACTCACATTGAATTTGGAAAGAAGCCTGCTGAGTGAGAAAACTCTAGCTTCAGCCTCCCAATCCATCATTCACAACTCACAGCGGGGCACAGGGCTGCACTTTCTGCAGGGGAACTGTGACTTCAAATTGCAAGGGACCATAGTTGTCAAGACACCGAAACGCATTTCCCCCTACTCAGCTCCGTGGAGAAAACCCAGCGTCTTGTTTTAATAAAAGAAATATGATGATGAAGGAAATCTGTGAAAGCTCAGGCTGCGTACTCTTCCAAGTCATTGTATATAAGGTTAATTGTCACACAGTCTCCAGCTGGTGTTTATGTGGTAGAGGTGGAGGCATCCTAAATACCAGCCTCTGTCTTTAGATTTAATCAAGGATGAAGGGAGAGAGTAGTAATAATAATAATTAACAATAATAAAATCACCAATATTGAGTATTTCCTTTTTGCCAGGAACTACGCTAAGCCCTTTTTAAGCAATATGATATCATGGCAAACTCTAGAGCCAGACCACTTGTGTTTGAATGACAGAAACACTATGCAGCAGCTAAGACACCTTAGGCAGGTGATTTAACCTGCGTCTTAGTTTCCTCACCTGAAAATGGGGATAATAATAGCACCCCATAGAATCATGATGCAAATTAAATATATGTAAAGTGCTTAGAATAGTGTTGGGCACATTACCGTATAAATGCAGGATGCCCGGTAAAGTTTGAATTTCTGATAAACAACCACTTTTTAGAATAAGTGTGTACCAAATATTCCATGGGACATACACCAAAAAAAGTAGTCATTGTATATCTGCAGTTCAAATTTCACTGAGCATCCTGTATGTATGTATGTATTCAGCTAAATCTGGGAACTATAATTCTACAATCACTTATCTGAAACTCTTGAGGCTAGATATGTTTCAGAGCTCATAGATTTTTCAGATTTTAGAAAAAAAATACATTGCATATAACCACCGATCATGTAATACTTCAGCAATGGCTGGAGTGGCAGGCCTGAAGCAAGTGCATTAATATTTCCATTGGGAAACATATGCATATTCTTATAAGTAGGATAAATGAAATCTGAAGCAGCCTCACATGAGTTAAGATCCAATTTTGCCATCACAGGAATTGAGATCAGGCCCCCATCTTGCCAACTGAGGGTTACAATGTTTTCTGGGTTTGGGGTTCAGAATTAGCATTGTGAACCTAGATTACTGCTACTACCATTATTATTTTCTTTTTCTTTTTTTAATTTTTTGGGTTTTTTTGAGACGGAGTCTCACTATGTTGCCCAGGCTGAACTGCAGCCTCCCCCTTAGGGCTGAAGTGCAGATTCAACCTGCAATCTCAGCTCACTGCAACCTCCACCTCCCAGGTTCAAGTGATTCTCCTGCCTCGGCCTCCCAGGTAGCTGGGGTTACATGCGTGTGCCACCACGCCTGGCTAATTTTTGTATTTTTAGTAGACAAGGGGTTTCACCATGTTGGCCATACTGGTCTTGAACTCCTGGCCTGAAGTCATCTGTCTGCCTCAGCATCCCAAAGTGCTGGGGTGGCAGGCGGGAGCCACCGGGCCCAGTCTATTATTATTTTCTTTTATTCTCACAACTAGTATAAGTAAAAACTGTTATTCCCATTTTACACGTGGTGAGACTGAGGCTTAGGGTGGCTATATATTTAGCCCAGGATCATGTGGCTTGTAAATAGCTAGATCATGCTTCACACCCAGTCACTCTGTCTGCCCTTATCTGCGATCATGAGCATGCATGCCCTTTCCTTGTTTCTTTGCATTCTTCGTACAGCTCTTGTTTTGAAAGAGGGATTAAAATAAGAGGACACAGAGAAGAGGAGAGTTAAGGAGAGGAGGCATCTCAGAAATGGTTGGCACCTGCTCAGAAATGGTCCAGAAGGCGATCAAACACTCTAGTCTTCTGAACTTTCAGCACGCACGCCCACGCACGCACAGCCTCTTGTTTAAGGCCCTGGCTTGGCCGCAATTCTCCTGTCATGTGTACTCAACAGCTGTTCTGCAGACCCCTGAGCACACTGAGGCTCATGCTACACTAAAGAGAACTGTGTCTTTGGTGAGCCTTTCACTACAGAAACGGCAAAATCAGTATATATTTTTTCAACATTAGAAAGCCATTTGTCAATGTGAAAATTAAAAACAGGACAGCAAGGCAAAACACACTAGCTGGCAGGAGGCTGTAAGTTTTACACTTGCATTATTATGATGTATAATACAGAACGAAAACTCACAAAATAAGCGGCCTTCCATACAAAAAATGTGTTCTAAACTCAAGTTGAAAATTTATGAGCTCAAAAATTCCCATTTCACACATCTGCAAGAACCCTACCACAGCCAAAGCACCGGGTGACATAAACTCTAAAACCTGTCCTGATAGTTCCGCCTGCTCTCTCACCCTACTCCATGACATCCTCTCGCCACTGGAGAAAACCCCAGGTCAATTACTCAAGCCTGGAGCAGGAAAGGGCCTGGGAGTTCCCAGATGGTTCCAGGGCCAAAAAGAGTTGCCTGTCATGGCCCCATATCACCAAGGAAAAGATGGAAAGGAGCCAGACATGGACACGAAGTCCAGTTCTGCTACTAACTCAGGATGAGACCCTGGGCAGTTATTTAGCCTCCAGAAGCCTCCATTTCCTCATCTGGAAGTGAGGATGGTGATAGCACCAACTTCAACGGGGATCTTTTGAAGGTTTTATGAGATGGTGCCTGTAAGTCACTCAACACACAGCCTGGTTAAAACAGATATATTGATCATTTAAGAATGGAACAAAAAAAAGAACTCTACTAACACAATTATCTAAGCCACTACCTTTGTATAAGGTCTCAGAGTTTACAAACTCTTTCACCTAAGTGTTTCCCATCTCAACAAACACCACTGCCCAACCATCACCAAAAATCTAAGCATCACCCACAACTGTCTGCTTTTGTTCACAGCCCAAATCGAATCCTTCAATAGGCCCTCTACCTCCTAATCCTTCCCCCATTCTCCCTCTCCATCTCTTGAATTCAAGGCAGCATTGCCTCTCACCTGGCATACGGAAATAAACCTACCTGAGTCACCTTCTTCTGTTCTTGTTCCCTATGGTCTCTTCTCCATCAGGAAAGACTCCCGCTAATGGAGCCCTCCACCGAGACATCTTTTGAAATGCTCATAAGATGTACTCTCTTTCATAAAAGCCTCCAGAGGCTTTTGAGTGTACTTAAGGAAAGCCCAAACTCCCTGGCACTTGGGCCCCCCCATGGACTCCTCATCGCTTGCACCTCACCTAGCAAAAGCGCCTCCCGTTCCTCAAGTCCACGCTTCTATCCACCCTTTGCCCCATCTGTTCCCCCCACCTGGAAAGCCCTTGCCTCAGTCTTCACACAGCATTTCCCTCCTCAGCATTCAAAGGTCACCTTCAAGGTCATGTCCTCAGGCTTTTCAATCTAGCCATCCTGTCACTTGCTATCACATTGTTCTAGGTGTTAAATTTTCTCTGTAACGTGTTCCACTGACTGATATTTCTCTTTCTTTCTTTCTTTTAGAGACAGGGGGTCACTAATTTGCCCAGGCTGGCCTCCAACTCCAGGGCTCAAGCCTCAGCCTCCCAAGTGGCTGGAATTAAAGGCGTGTATCACCACGCCCAGTTTCATAATTTTCTTCTTGCATTAATTGCCGTATTGTCTTTCTTCCCATACCTGGTTCACTGTTCTATTTCCAAAACCTAACTCAGTACCTGATGTGCAACAAATATTTGGTGAATTTGTTCATTAACCTCTTAAGACCAAGAGGAAAGTGAAAGGGCCACATGCTTAACTTGTTTGATGACTTTCCTTTTGAAAAAAGTGTCCCTGCCCACTTAAAGAATGAGGGTGAGGGCTGGAATCTGGCTCCCTCAAATCTAGGCCCTAACACTGATTTAGGAGGGAAATCTAATGGCTGTGTGTGGGACCCCCAGGTATCCCTCCTCCTCCTGCCCCGCTGCTTTCGGTGTGCTAACCAAAAATGACAGAATACCCTGATCACTCTGTGACCCAGCCAGTGGCCGGTTTGTTTTGTTTTGTTTTGTTTTGTCTTGTCTTTGAGATAGACGTTCCCTCTGTCACCCAGGCTGAAGTGCAATGGTACGATCTCAGCTCACTGCAGCCTCCGCCTCCTGGGCTCAAACAATTCTCATGCCTCAGCCTTCCAAGTAGCTGAGATTACAGGCATGAGCCACCATGCCCAGCTAATTCTAGCTGCAGGTTTTTCCCAGCAGGCTTAGGCCCAAACTGGACCCTTGGACATTCCCAGGCACTGATAAAGGTATCGAGGTTGATGCACAAAACACTGAAAGAAACCAGTACTGGCTCTGAGCCAAATTCCTTAAACCGTCATATAGTCTCCACACCCAAATACCCTAAGTAGAACACCCCTTTTCTCTCACTGTCTTGAGGATACACTGCAGCACTTTCAACATAAGCTGCACTAATAAATGCTTTGGACTGACCGGCTGCCCTGGCATTTATTGAGTGCTTCTTTCTTTGGAATCCCAACTGGCCCCATCTCGGGATGGGGTACTCCCTCATGGGAACTTCCCTGTCGCTGCTTTTGGGGCGACTCCAGACATAAGTTCGATGGGATAAGACACTGTGGCAAAACTGCGGCAACTTTAAGTGTCATCTTCACCTTGGGATACCCACTGATACACAGCCTGGTCACCTCAAGAGAAGTTTGACTTGCAACGTGTGACACAAAAAAGGATCCCAGCCAGGCACAGTGGCTCTCACCTGTAATCCTAGCACTTTGGGAGGCCAAGGCGGGTGGATCACTTGAGGTCAGGAGTTCGAGACCAGCATGGCCAACATGGTGAAACTCCATCTCTACTACAAATACAAAAATTAGCCGGGCGTGGTGGTGGGCACCTGTAATCTCAGCTACTAGGGAGGCTGAGGCAGGAGAATCACTTGAGCCCAGGAAGTGGAGTATGCAGTCAGCTGAGGTCGCGCTAGCCTGGGCGACAGAGCAAGACTCCGTCTCTGTTTAAAAAAAAGAAAAAAAGGATTCCCACTGGCAATGGAAGCATGGATTTATTTACAAAGGAGCCTTGCTTGGAGGCAGGCAAGTCAGACCCACAGACCAGAAAATATGCAACTGCTTAAGCTAAAGAGGAATCTATAGCCAGCGGAGCCATAGGAAGACCAATGTTCTCTGCCTGTGGGTCTTAAGAGACGCCATTCAGCCTTCCAAGCCCCTTTCCTGATTCCCTTGCAACAACGCTTAGAACACCACAGCTGTTTTTTGCAAGGAAAAAGAAAACAGGAAACTTAAGATCCACTATTTCGCACCAAAACTTGAAAATAAACTTAAAATTTCTTCAAAATTGCATTTAGTGCTTGGTAAACCTCAAGCAAACAGAATACTAAAAATATCACCTGTCTTCTCTTCCACTTCCCAAGGTACCATAATTATAACTTGACACAGGATGGAAAACTGTGACTTACCAGCTTCGATGCATTCTGGCTTCAGGCAGTACTCCTGTTTAGCTTGGAGACTTAAGAGACCTTGACTCACTGAAAAAACAGACCAAAATAAATGACTGACTTGTAGCAGACCACCATCCGGTAAACCACCCTCGGAAACATACGCAACACATTTGATATCAGTTCATCCTTCTCAGTGTTGACACGGTATTCCAAAACCCAGTTGGTTCAATGTCACGAAACCAGACTCTAGTTGCTAGCTACATAACCTTGGTAAGACTCTTGGTTGCTTTGAAACTCAGTTCTCTCATATGTAAGATAAGTAAGTATAACTAGACCAGAGCTCCTAAGAGTGTGGTCTCTAGAGCAGCAGCAGCTGTTGCTGCTGCACCTGGGAGCTTGTTAGAAAGTCACTCCAGATCTTGACTCAGAAAACCTGGGGGTGGGGCCCAGCCATCTGCAGTTTAACAAGCCCCCCAGGTGATTCCAATACATGCTCAAATATGAGCACCACTGGGCGAGATACTCTCTAAAGTCGTTTCAACCTCCAATTATCAGTGGTTTAAGTCTCATACTTTCACTCTATTGGTTATAACTCCATGCCCATGTTCAAGATGGGAAAATTGAAACTTAAACTATGTCATTTGGAGGCAATCAGAGTGGAAATAGAAAGCTAGCATGTATGGCTTTTAGAGTTCTGGATCTTATCTAAACCATCCATACAGATATGGACCAAAAAAGGAGTAGGGGTAAAGAATATACTGAACATATCTCAATCACCTATTAGTAGCAACAGTCATTTTCCGCCTGCCCTGAACCCCACAAACCCTCTGCCCACCAGGCCCAGCTTAGCTACCAGACATTTGCAACTCTGTGGAACAAGCTTCCAGCTATTTCCTCCTTTCCCCTCTTCCACAAAAAAAAAAAAAAAAAAGTCTGAAATTGAAATGGCTTTTCACCAATGGCTTAATGTCCCCATCTGGCTGGCAACATTATCTAAACAGGTTTCTGCAGAAGTACAGAAGGGTGCCCATTTGTCAACCCCAGGTAGCACCTGGGCATTAGCAGATGTGAGTTTAAGATTTCAAAAATATTTGTGGTAGCTGAGGAAATTCTGGGGAATTCATTCTTGCTGTGCTCTGTGAGCAGAAACAATGAATCATTTGGAGATGTGGCCATGGGGAGAGGGATGGTGGTAGGTGAATGGGGACCAAGGCCCTCTGTGGAAGGATCAGAAAGCTCGGCTGTGCCTATATTTCTGCTAGAGATGGAAGACCTATAGATTACTAGTCAGTGTGGCAAGTTTTTGTAAATGGAGCCTTCTTTTCCTTTGTTTTTTTCTCTGCTGCCATCTTCCAAGCAGCCTCTTTGCATTGTGTTACATTATAGATTCAAGAAAACTATTCAAGAAAACTGCCTAGGAAACATCTCAGTCCTATTTTTTTTTTTTTTTTTTTTTTTGAGACGAGTTTCTCTCTGTCGCCCAGGCTGGAGTGCAGTGGCGCGATCTCGGCTCTCTGCAAGCTCCGCCTCCCGGGTTTACGCCATTCTCCTGCCTCAGCCTCCCGAGTAGCTGGGACTACAGGCACCCACCACCACGCCCGACTAATTTTTTGCATTTTTAGTAGAGACGGGGTTTCACCATGTTAGCCAGGATGGTCTCGATCTCCTGACCTCGTGATCCGCCCACCTCAGCCTCCCAAAGTGCTGGGATTACAGGCGTGAGCCACTGTGCCCAGTCCATCTCAGTCCTATTTTTAAGAAAATAAGTTTCTTAGCAAAAAGATATGTTTTGATTTCTGTATAAAGCAAAAAAGAAAAGGTAAAAATATATATATGGGCAGCATAAAGATTAGTGTGCAATATTCCACTATGCCTGGGTGGTAGAACCTCAGGGGGAATTTTCCCCAACAGTCAATTTTTATATGTTCATCTAATTTTCTTTAGTGAGCATGTGTTCTTTTTTTATAATGCAAAAATAAGCTTTATTGTAAATAATAATAATATTTTTATAATTCTGGACAATATCTTCTTGATCTTAGCCTTATTTTAAAAAACAAAAGAGCTAATAAAATCATTAAAGATTTATTCCTTTCATGAGAAATAATTCTTGACCCAAAACCTTGAAGAAGTAAAATCAGGTATCTTTATCTAATGATGAGTAGAAGGAAGGTTTTAAATATAACTAATTAGGCCGGGCACAGTGGCTCAGACCTGTAATCCCAGCACTTTGGGTGACCGAGGTGGGCGGATCACCTGAGGTCAGGAGTTTGAGACCAGCCTGGCCAACATGGTGAAACCCCATCTCTACTGAAAATAAAAAAATTAGCTGGGCGTGGTGGTGCGTGCCTGTAATTCCAGCTACTCAGGAGGCTGAGGCAGGAGAATTGCTTGAACTCAGGAGGTGGAGGTTTTAGTGTGCCAAGATCGCACCACTGCACTCCAGCCTGGGTGACAGAGTGAGACTCAGTTTCAAAATATATATATATATGTGTGTGTGTGTGTGTGTGTGTGTGTGTGTATGTGTGTGTGTATATAATTAATTGGGACACTGACAGACCCAACCCCTCAAGGAAGAGCATTATCTCCATGGATGGGGTTATTTTAAAATCCTCCAAATAAATGAGGATCAACAAGCCCAGATAATGTGAAGGTGTAAGTGAATGAAATAGAGACAATAAAGAAAATATTTTTAATATAAAAATTAAGATGTTACTTTTGAATGGTTGGGAGCATTGAAAAATACCTGTAAATAGCAGTTTGGTTTCTCATTGTAGATTTCTCTGTAACCAGAGGAAATGTCCTCAGGATGCAGTGGAGTCATCCACAGATCAAGAGCATAAGAATGGCCAGAAAGCAGGGGTCAGCACACTATGGCCCGTAGGCCAAATCCACTGCCTGTTTCTGTACAGCCCATGAGCTATGAATGGCTTTTACATTTTTTTCATGGTTGGGAAAAATAAAAAGAAAAATAATATTTCATGACATATGAAAAGTATATAAAATTCCAATTTCAGTGTCTAGAAATCAGATTTCCTTGGCACACAGCCATGCCCATTTGTGTACATATTGTCCGTGGCTGCTTTTGTGCAACAACAACAGAATTGAGTAGTTGCAAGAGGCCGTATGGCCCACAGAGTCGAACATATTTACTATCTGGCCCTTGACAGAAAAAGTTTGCGGGCCAGTGCATCTGAGAAACAGATTGTGGGGAGGAAAGAGAGGGAAAGAGAAGAAGAAAGGACACTTGGAAATAAATAAAGTGGTTACAGGCATATATGTTTTCCATTCCGGTGCCCTGTAGCTTCTCTGAAGCCACCGCAAGGCCACTGGCAATCACTCTTACTATAGAAGCACTAAGGTTTCGAGGAAAGATTATCCCGGAGCCTCAGATACAAAGACGAGGTAAGAAGGGATGCTAGAAATTGCAGGCATGTAAGTGAATGTGGACAGGCAGAGAAATATACCGCAAAGTCAACCAGGAAGCCCCCTGAAGAGAAGACGACCCTAACTAGAATATTGTCATGAAGAGCATGGCTGGGCAGGTCCCTGGAGCTTGTCAGACAAGCGCTTTGCCTGGGTGCAGAGTGGAGGTGGGTGGCAGAGTTGAGGAGAGGGATGAGGAGAGGGGGTAAGGGGGTGATTCTAAAATAGTGCAGAAATATTTAACAAAAAGAAGTATCCCTGAATGTATACATCCAAATAGATGTGGTCACCTGAAGCAATGCTTCTCAAACCTGTATTTGCGAACAATCCCCTGGGGGTCTTGTGAAAATGCAGATTGTGGATCAGCGGGTCTGGGGTGGAGCTCAAGCTCTCCAGTGATGCTGATGCTGCTGGTCCACAGACCCCATTTTGAGAAGCAAAGTTGTAGAGGCCACAGCCTTAGTTTGCCCTTATTCTCTAACATCATTTGAGCTCCTCTTAGAAAGTCAAGGTGAGAGCCAGGTTATTGGACACGCAGGAAAGTTCTCTTTCATATGTTATGCAGGCCTCCTTATCCGTAATACTAGTGTCTGGCTTGATGAATTTTACTTTGCTCTAAGAACATCGACACTGTTTCCTAAGAATAATTTTCTCTGAAAGAACAAAGATTTGCTGCCATGGAGAATCTTTCAACGGATATGCCATGGCCTCAGGATGTAATCATAAAAGTAGAGCTTTGTAAAAGTTTCATGCAGTAGTAATATCGTTAAAAAGAGTACGTATTTTTACATAAACAATAATTATTTGGATTTTTAAGTTTGGGAGCATTTGCAAAACCTAACCTTGCAGTCACGTTCCACATAGCATGTAGCCCATAGAATTTTCCCTCTCATTTTGAATTTCAGCAGAGGACACTTATCTGAACCCGAAGTACTGAGAAATCTCACAAGAGTTTTCAAGAGCCACAGATTCAGTTGCAGGAGTAGGAGATTTAGCTTTACCAGAAAGCAATAAACCCATCTAATTTCCTAAATCTTCAGCCACAGAAAACAGGGAAAGATGGTTTGCTCATTTTAGCAGAGTTTTCAACCACACAACCCTACCTCTTTTAATTACTGGTTTACCCCTGCCAAAATAAACATGGCCTCCTGCATCCTGTATATGCCAAGGAAGGTTTCCAGGTTTGCTACATTTCAAACTGCACCTAGAATCTCCTCATTCCTACATAACGTTCAAGCTAATGAAGTATTACGGGTTGTATGAGAAAAATTAAAATGGTAATAGTCAAGGGTTCAGCAAGCCTAGAATTTTAGAAAATCCTTCACTCCTTTCCAAGATATTTGATTCTTTTTCATAGGAATACACTTCTATCATCCTATATACTCTCTGGGTACATCGTTCTCACCAAGAGTCATGAAAATAACTGAATCACAATATCTTTCAAATCCTGGGGGAAAAAACCTCTGTTTTCCTTCGTATTAATTTGTAAAGCAAATTGCATCTCAGCAGAGTCACTGGATAAGAAAGGAATTGAAGAATATCATTAAAAGTACACTTTAAAGGACTGATTTGTGTTTTGTGAATTAAATTTCATGATTCGTTCAAGCAAACATTAATAAAAGTCAAATGGAAAGACACTCCAGCATGATTTTCATCACAATGTAAAGTCTTTCCTCAAAATATAAATGAAACTATGTGACTATGAATTCATAAACACTTATTTTGCTAAATGTACCACATAAAAATTTTTCCGCCCAATGCAACAGAATCAGCCAGCTACTCGAAGCCACTTACACCCACTTTGCCTTCTGGACTATACATTTGGTACTTGGGTGTATTTATTTATTTAGGCTCCTTAAAAAAGGCTTCTTTATCATTTGCATATTTGATAGAAACTAAAGATGCACCACCTACGAACGCAGGCAAACAGCCCTATACCTGTGTTATGACAAGTTTTGCTAAAATAAAGCACAAGGAAACTTCTCGACACACACCCAGTTCCCCCGGCCTCCTGCACTCCACTTACCTAGAAACAAGATCGTGCCCAGAACTAGGGTGCCACCGACAAACACAACCAGGGCAATTCGAGTGCCTCTGTTGGCCTTCTTTCCAGTCTCCACGCTGCTCCCTGTTTCTGCTTCCATCAGAAGGGCCGTAGAGAGCACACGAGAGGAAAGTCACTTTTCGTGGTCTGGTGGCTGGTCTCAAGAGCGAGGCGTTGACATCCAAGGCTCTCTTGCTCTTCTACTAATGGACAGCTTAAAAAACTCCCGTCAGGAAATCTCCCCTCGCCACCCTTTCTCAAATAATTCTTCACAAATGAAAATTATAAAAACCAAAATATTGGTTGCCTTGGCTTTCCCCCTGACTAGACAAAACAAACAACGTTGCTTTATCTTGGTGCTCTCCCTCAGCAAACTCTCTCTCAACCGATTGTTTGGCAGGCTTTTCTCTCAAGCGTTCCGAGTATACATGTTTTACTATGTTGCTGAACAGATGTTTTAGCTATTTAAATGTATAGTCACTTGGGGAGGAAAAAACAATTGTTTTATCAAAACTGGATTCTCGTGAAACTCCCCCAAATCATGATAAGTTAGGTGGCCAGGATTCACCGGACCCACTTCAGGTTCTCAATTAATCATGTAATTCTGTTGCAAGAATCATTCTGCTTGCCTGAATTGTCTTCATCAAAGATATTCTTTCAGTGTGTGAGTCCCTTTTTAAAGCCTTCTAAGAGTTCCTAGGATATCCTGGAGCATTTTATTTTAGGAACTTTGTGTATGATAGCATGTGCCAAAAATCAGTCATAGTCCAGTGCAGTGCAAAGTAGCAATTAAGACAACCTACAGAGGCTGATGGTTTGAACTGGAACTTTTTCTTAAAGGAGATGTGAAAGGACATTTTGGAGGAAATTGATGCGAATTGTACAAAAAAAAAAAAAAAAAACACAAACCCACAAAAAAACACAAGTGCGTGAATTAAGTTTATTAGCAACTACAAAAGATATGATGAAAAATTTTTCCCTTGCATGTTTTTGATGAAAAGTGCACCATGTGTTTTGTCTGCCACTCCTACTGAGGCAGCCATTCATTAGGATGTTTTTGCGTTTACATAAAGTGTCCACTTCAGCAGATTCCCCAGGATGAATTAAAAGGCAATTGGTTTCAGGCCGGGCGTGGTGGCCCACGGCTGTAATCTCAGCACTTTGGGAGGCTAAGGCAGGGGGATTGCTTGAGGCCAGGAGTTCGAGACCAGCCTGGCCAACAAGGCCAAACCTTGTTTGTACTAAAAACACAAAAATTAGCCGGGCATGTTGGTGAGCACCTGTAGTCCCAGCTACTCAGGAGGCAGAGGTGGGAGAATCGCTTGAGCCTGGATGGTGGAGGTTGCAGTGAGCCAGATCTCATCACTGCACTCCAGCCTGGGTGACAGAGACCCTGTCTCAAAAATAAACAAACAAAAAACAAAGGCAGTTGACTTCACTGGAAAGACTGATGAATGACTGGGTCTTTGATTTTTTTATTATGATAATGATTTAAACAATAACAATGTGCTTTCTTCATGGGGAAGGGCAACTGATATTCCAATGCTACCATTGAAATGATATAGATTTTATCATCCAAAGATATAGATATCATTAATTCACAACACAATTACTACCTACCTGCTTTTGTTTTGCTGGAGGTCATAGGGCAGTGGGAGTAGGGGTAGAGAATTCAACTATACCTAGAAACCGGTAGAGCAATTATCTCAATGCAAAACTTGTGCACATGGCTTTAGAGGTGACACAGGAGCTCAGCAGGTGCTGATGAGCTCAGTATAACATGGCCACACATTCATGATCCTGTCTGGCTTGTCTTGGTCAGGGCTTAAGCCCTTAGCATGGAATTCTCTCAAGTTTTGGGGCTTATTCCATAACATACCTTAGTTTCTGCTCATTTCATGTTGCACCAAAGTCAGGGGATCATGTCTTTGTCCAAGTTACGACATCATGGTGTGTTGTAGTTATCCTGTGCTCATTGGTTGTTGATGTTACTTTGTTGCTGTTATTCCATAACACATCTTAGCAGGCCTTTGGCCCCTAGTATGAGATTCTCCCAAGAGTTTTTGGACTTGACTCTAGAATACATCTTAGACCATGAACTCCACAAGGTCAGGAACCATGTTCAATGTTGCAGCTCCAGCATCGACATTTCCTGACCCTTCACAGTGAAAGGGAGAAATAAAAGCAATACAAATCATCCAAGTTAGCCCTAGCCACTAACTCTTAAAAACCAGCTTCAGCCGGGCACGGTGGCTCACGCCTGTAATCCCAGTACTTTGGGAAGCCAAGATGGGTGGATCACACGGTCAGGAGTTCGAGACCAGCCTGGCCAACATGGTGAAACCCCGTCTCTACTAAAAATACAAAAAATAGCTGGGTGTGGTGGCAGGCGTCTGTAATCCCAGCTACTGAGGAGGCTGAGGCAGGAGAATTGCTTGAACCCAGGAGGCGGGTTGCAGTGAGCTGAGATCATGCCACTGAACTCCCGTCTGGGTAGCAGAGCAAGACTCTGTCTCGAAAACAACAACGACAACAACAAAAACAAAACAAAACAAAAAACCAGCTTCAGGGCCAGAAGTGGTGGCTCACACCTGTAATCCCAACACTTTGGGAGGCTAAGGTGGGCAGATCACTCTAAGTCACGAGTTCGAGATCAGCCTGGCCAATGTGGTGAAACCCCATCTCTACTAAAAATACAAAAAAATGGCCAGGTGTGGTGGTGCGTGACTGTAATCCCAGCTACTCAGGAGGCTGAGGCACAAAAATCGCTTGGACCCGAGAAGTGGAGGTTGCAGTGATCTGAGATGGCGCCACTGCACTCCAGCCTGGGTGACAGAATGAAACTGTGTCTCAAAAAAACCAAAAGGCCAAGGTGGGTGGATCACCTGAGGTCAGGAGTTCGAGATCAGCCTGGCCAACATGGTGAAACCCCGACTCTACTAAAAGTTTAAAAATTAGCCGGGCGAGGTCGCAGATGCCTGTAATCCCAGCTACTTGGGAGGCTGAGGCAGGAGAATAGCTGGAACCCAGGAGGCAGAGGTTGCAGTGAGCTGAGATCGCACTACTGCACTCCAGCCTGGGCAACGGAGCAAGACTCCGTCTCAAAACAACAACAACAACAAACAACAAACAACCAGCTTCAGCTTCAGGAACCTCACATGCTAAGCCCTAATTATTCCTTCTAAATGCTCAGCTGACAATGATACTTCATATAGGCATAGAACATTTGCTTTAACCTCATGGTAAATCTACATACTTGATAGCAAAGGTATTTTAACTCTGTTTTACAAATAAGGACACTGAAACCAAGGAATGGCCTCAGGTGGCATGGGAAAATCACAAATGGATAGATGGGAGATGGGATCTTTGCCATACATGGCATGTCTGCAGCTTGACAAAGCTTCCTGTGCACAGCGAGAGGACAGTCACCCAAGCACGACACCAGGACTCACTTCTTTCCTCTTTCCTTCCTCCTCCCAATCTCTTCACAACTTTCAGCGTCCCCACTCACATTGAATAGTGGCCGTGAGTTCCTAGCTGAAGTAGCCTTCACCTGCCTTGAACTTGCAATTCCCCCAGAGGTGAGGGGAATTTGGGGATTCCCCTGAAGTTAGACCTACCCATCACTTACCAACAGGAATTCATTCCTGAACGGTCAACTGCTGAGTGAAATGCCATTAAACCAAAAAATTACTTTCATTAATTGTAATAGGAAAATTATGATGCGTTCTATCCCAAACTAAGATACGCAAACACAGACAGAAAAATGTATTCATTGAACTTAATTGTACATTTTAAAATAACTGAAAGACTGCCATTGGATTGTTCGTAACACAAAGGATAAATGCTTGAGGGGATGGATACCACATTCACCATGATGTGATTGTTTCATATTGCATGCCTGTATTGAAACATCTCATGTACCCACAAATATATACACTTGATACGTACCCACAGACATTAAAAATTAAAATAAGTAATTTTAAAATGTATTACTTGAACAATGAAAACAAGTCTATAAAAGTAATATAGAACTGTTGAAATATTGAAAATAAACATAGTTTGTGTAATGTAATGTAATGAAGCTTTCTTTTATTCACGAAAGGAATAAAGGAAAACTTGAGAGTAGCGGGATTGCCAGAGGAAAGGATGTGGGAGAATCACTCATTATAAGGTACATTGTTCATTCTGTGCCATTTTCTGCATTAATTTTTCAATCTTTTAGGAGATGATGATAATCTTGCCCTCAAAATAAACCACACTTAAAGTAGCACAGAAAAAAAGAAAAGAAAAGAAAAAAACCCTTTAGGGCAAAATAAAGAAGTTCAAAGCACAGGGAAATAATAGGTGCTCACAGGACTAAAGCGGGGGTCTGCAAACAAGAGTACATGGACCAAATTTGGCCCACTGCCTGTTTTTGTAAATAAAGCATTTTATTTTTCAACTTTTTTTTTTTTTTTTTTTTTTTTGAGACAGGGCCTCACTTTGTTGCCCAGGCTGGAGTCCACTGGCGCAATCTTGGCCCACTGCAACCTCCACCTCCTGGGTTCAAGCAATTCTCCTTCCTCATCCTCTCGAATAGCTGGGACTACAGGCGGTGCGCCACCACGCCCACCTAATCCTTGTATTTTTAGTAAAGATGGGGTTTTGCCATGTTCCTCAAGCTGGTCTCGAACTCCTGGGTTCAGGTGACCCACCCGCCTTGGCCTCCCAAGTGCTGGGATTACAGGCATGAAACATCATGCCCGGCCTGTAAACAAAGTTTTTATTGGAACAAGGTCACACCTATTTGTAGATTGTGCATAATTGCTTTCATGCTGCAAGAGCAAAGTTAAGTAGTTTTGCAACAGAGACATTTTGGCCTTCAAAGCTTAGAATATTCACTCTCTGGCTCTTGACAGGAAAAGTTTACCAACCTCTGCACTAAAGAGTAGTAAAAGATGCTACCTCTAGCCGGGAGCGGTGGCTCACGCCTGTAATCCCAGCACTTTGGGAGGCCACGGTGGGCGGATCATGAGGTCAGGAGATCATGACCATGGTGAAACCCCATCTCGAGTAAAAATACAAACAGCCGGCTGTGGTGGTGCGTGCCTGTAGTCCCAGCTACTTGGGAGGCTGAGGCAGGAGAATCGCTTGAACTTGGGAGACGGAAGTTGCAGTGAGCCGAGATCACGCCACTGCACCCCAGCCTGGTGACAGAGTAAGACTCTGTCTCAAAAACAAAAAAACAAAACAAAACAAAAAAAAAGCTACATCTTCACGCCATCTACATGGCACACAAAAGAAAATGTTTATCCACACTTGACCTGTAACTCAAAATTGTTCCATTCGAGGGTCTTTGATTAGAAACTGCTGTGTCAGGGAAACTGGTGAATGTGTCTTTGCCTGAAACTGTAATATTGAAACTATGATTTCAATATTATGATTTAGCATACAATTTAGTGTGTTTGGGAGTGAGAAGTCATTATTCTGGGAAATAAAAGGGGAGGGACGTTATTCTAAAACTTTTTACAACAATTCTAGAGCTGTGAAAATTAGTTAATTGAAAAGTCATTATGCAAGGTAAGTCTGTTAGTAGTCTGCTGTACACCCACCTATTTCAATTAAGAACATTCAGGACTATCTTGGACATTCAGTGGATCAATCGATGAATCAACAGAAGTTTTTTGAGCATTTCTCAGGTGCCTAGCCCTGTGCAAACCCTTGTGAAGCAAGACCAAGAACTCATGCCGGAGGTTCTGGACTGGTCAACAGGGATGAAAATACTGTATGGGAAGCCCAAC